CCACCTGTATCCCATAGCAACCGCCCTGGGACCAGTGTATCCCATAGCAACTGCCCTGGGACCACCTGTATCCCATAGCAACCGCCCTGGGACCACCTGTATCCCATGGCAACTGCCCCGGGAACACCTGTATCCCATGGCAACTGCCACGGGACTGTGCATCCCATGGCAACCGCCCTGGGACCACCTGTATCCCACTACCATTGCCCTGCAACCACCTGTATCCCATGACAACTACCCTGGGACCATCTGTATCCCATGGCAACTGCCCTGGGACCAGTGTATCCCATAGCAACTGCCCAGGGACCACCTGTATCCCATGGCAACCGCCTTGGGACCACCTGTATCCCATGACAACTACCCTGGGACCACCTGTATCCCATTACCATTGCGCTGCAACCACCTGTATCCCATGGCAACTGTCCTGGGACCAGTGTATCCCATGGCATCCATCCCGGGGCCGCCGTATCCCGTGGCATCCATCCTGGAGCCTGTATCCCATGGCATCCATCCTGGAGCCTGTATCCCATGGCATCCATGCCGGGGCCGCTGTATCCCGCGGCATCCGTCCCGGGGCCAGATCCCAGATCCCGGTATCCCGCGGCATCCGGCTGTGCTTGTCCCGCGCCCCGGCCTGGGCGCCTGACGCTGYTCTCCGCCCAGGGCCCGTCGGGGGAGCGAGGGCTGCCCGGAGCCACGGGGGCACCCGGACCCAAGGTAGGTCACGTGACCCCTTCCCAGGATGTCCGGATCCGGGTCCTGCCCCTCTGGATGTGTCCCCCRTTCCTTATCCTCCTCTTTCTGCCCAGGGCCACGCGGGACATGACGGAGCCCCCGGAGCCACCGGGGAGAAGGTGAATGGTTGTGGGGGGGTCAGGATGCAGGATGCCGGGATGAGAGACCGGGATGGAGGGTGCAGGACCGGGAAGCGGGATGCTGGGATGAGGAGCCAGGATGCACAATGCAGGATTAGGGCCCAGGATGCAGGATGAGGGGCCAGGATGCAGGATACAGGGATGCTGGGATGAGGGGCCAGGATGCAG